TTGAGATCTGGTGTTTCAACATGGCCCAGACTGAATGGAGGCTCCTCTCCACTTTCCGCTCTCCTAACTCAGCTCCCACTCCCCGAGGTAGGAATCCCTCTTTGTTTTGGAGCAGACACTCTCTCCCCATTGTAGCCTCTAATATACCACTGATGTTCTCCCCATCCTTTTGTAAGCAGAAGAAGCACCAGGCCAAACTGGGAGGAACCCTGTCTTCTCCACTCGTTATAAATTTATTTGTGCATTCTCCTGACAAAATATTTATTAAGTGCCTAGTATGTGCCAAGTACAGATTGTTATTTAGTAAATAAATTCTTTAGGCGAAGGGGTGGTGGTGGGGGGAGTATCTTTCCCCTGAGCAGATCTCTTGCATCTTCACAGACAGGAGTGGAAAGGGAATTCGACAAGTCCCAAGGAAACAATATACAGGATGTGTTGCATGGGGGGTTAACTGATTAGAAATTCAAAGTTCCCTCCTTGCTTGCCTCTGAGAGATAATGCTGATAGGACAAAGATGTCATAACAGCAGCCAAGCTCACTGGGCCCTCTCTTTTCCTTGACCCTGCACAGGCTGGTTGGGGAGCTGGCCTTGGAATGCCTTCTTTCTCTCAGCTCTTCTCCGCTAGACCTGGCTAACTCTCCTTCCTGAGGCTTCATTCGTGAGCCTGGGTTAAGTATCATTTCTTGTAACTTCTTGCAAAGTTTCCCTGACCACCAAAAGCTCTCTTAGCCCCCCACCCCCAACGACTCCCACTCTTGTGCTTCTTTGCACTCCATGCATTTATTCCTTCATAGTGGATCTCAACACTGTGGACTCATTTCTTGTTTGTTATCTCCCTAACAGGGCTGCAATTTCCTTGAGAGCAGGGTCCAGGTCTTTCATCCTTATGCCTAAGGCAAGTATGGAGGTTTGAAAGGCAATCCAGAGAAATGAACAATATTGTGTCATCAGTAAGAATCAAAACAAAGTCTTTCTGAGTAACTCACCACCCCTCAGTTTTATTGAATAGTTCATTTACTTTCTTAACATAATAAAGTTTCATTGGAATACTGACAATTATATCAGAAGACTGAACTACAGCAAGCTTTAAATACTTATTCCCATATTATGCAGCCATCAAAAGGAATGAAATCTTGCCATTTGCAACGACGTGGATGGAATTGGAGGGTATTAGGCTGAGAGAAATAAGTCAATCAGAGAAAGACACGTATCATATGACCTCACTGATATGAGGAATTCTTAATCTCAGGAAACAAACTGAGGGTTGCTGGAGCGGGGGTGGGGTGGGAGGGATAGGGTGGCTGGGTGATAGACATTGGGGAGGGTATGTGCTATGGTGAGCGCTGTGAATTGTGTAAGACTGCTGAATCACAGATCTGTACCCCTGAAACAAATAATACATTATATGTTAAAAAAGAAGAAGAAGAAGAAAGAAGAAGAAGAAGAAGAAGATAGCAGGAAGGGAAAAATGAAGGGGGGCGGGAATCGGAAGGGGAGATGAACCATGAGAGACTATGGACTCTGAGAAACAAACTGAGGGTTCTAGAGGGGAGGGGGTGGGGGTATGGGTTAGCCTGGTGATGGGTATTCAAGAGGGCACATTCTGCATGTTATATGCAAACAATGAATCATGGAACACTACATCAAAAACTAATGATGTAATGTATGGGGATTAACATAACATAATAAAAAAATAAATAAATACTTATTCCCAGAAAGCATGATCCTAAAGTCAGCTAGAGGCACTGCCACTATCTCTGTAGACTTCTTTGATGATCTTTTACCTATTCTGACTGAGCTATGACTTGTTCAAGTTCATTGCCACATTTTTCTCCACAGTTGGCCCAAGGATGTGTTCATACCTTTGAAAAAGTAGTATTTACTTAATCCTGCAGACCTAGGAGCCTTGGCCCACTCGGCAAAGTGCTTCCATTTGGCTTAACGACCTTAAATAATTAGTTGATTAATGGCCCTGCTTATTAGGTGACTTTCTACTCTAAATTATCCACACTTAGCCCCATATATAAATCAGAAAAGGAGAAAAAAAATGGAATGTTCAGTAAAAATAATAATAAATTAAAAGAACCAAAACATCACCTTCCTCGTTAACTTTCTACAGTTCCTGAAATTCCCAGCATTGCCACAAACTTGAGATGACCAGAGGCTCCCGGGTGAACCGTGGATTGAAAACATTTCACCACCAGCAGCCTTTATAATCTTAAACAGAAATCAGAGCTACAGCAGACATCGACAGAGGTACAGGGTTTGCAACACTTTATTAATATCCCAGGGAAAACTCTCTGTCAGAAGCTAAGTTTTCATTACTAGCTTACTCTCCTTTTTAGATTAGTAGAAACTGTGAACTTGGTGACAGGACTAGTCAGCACTGAAGGAGAACAATTATAATAATCACACTGACTGTCTTAGATTATGCTACCAATTTTTGGGGGAACCGTCATAATAACACTTTTTATTTTAAAATATCTTTGTCTTTTTCTGAAGAGCGATGTTTACTTTAAAACTTAAGCTCGTTCAGAGAAATTCAAGAGACTCTAGAAATAAAATGAATCTTCAAAATAAGCCTAAAATTCAAAGTTGAAAATCGTGGGTGAAAAATAAGAACTTGAATTGACTCAACTTTTTCATTTTTCCACTGTCTGTCACATTGCCACCCACATAGCACTGGTTTCAATATGCCACGAGGCAGAAATTTGGGGTGGTGGCCATTTGTTGCTCATATGTTCGGATTACTGGTCTCTCTGAATATATAAAAATGTGTGAGGTCAACTCTGGGTTTTTATAAGCAATAGTCTTAAAGATGTAAAGAAACAAAGAACAGTTTCTACGAATATGTCAAAATTGACTCTGGCTTAATGCTTCCCTACACATTGAACAAGGAATATTTTCTAGGATTAAATCTCCTGGCACATGGAGCAAATTTCACTTTCTTGAAAATCAGAATTAGAATCCCTGAGTAGGTTGCTTTTGCCACTGCCACAATTTCAGCACAGGGTTGGGTTCTGGATGAGTTTTCATTAATTGACTCTTTTCTGCTCCCAAATTTTAGAGAGAAATTCATTAGGATAAATTTCCCTTTAATTCCATCTCTTGCTAGCCACTGACTTAAACTATGTTTTAAACGTATTTAAGTAATGGCAGCATGGAAAAGAATGTGAAAGGACAGTCAATCCAACTCTCATTGATTAAATGAGAACATAGAATCCTGGGGAAGTGAAAGAACTTGCTCATGGGTGCAAATTTAGATAATGACAAAACTGAATCTGCTTCTTACTCCTTTGCCAGTCCTCTTTCCACTACAATCAATCACAACATGTTAATCTGGTTTTTGTAAACTGAATTTTATTTCCAATGCAACTGAAAGGTGCAATGTAACTCTTTGGTAAAGCTTTCCATTATAAACAGATTCGTTTTGTAAGCATATATGTTGTCCTAATTTATTCTATATGAGTCTTCAAACATCTTTATCTAAGCATTGAGGTCCACCTATGTTCCTCTTGTAGCGTGGAGAGAAGTGGGGAGGGGAGCCTCTGGCGATGAGGGAGATGAGAGACAGAGAGGAGAGCAGGGAAGGTGGGTTTCGATGCATTCATTCAAGTATCTTGCTTCCCTCGGGATAGATAATCTCAGATTTTTCCATGAATGTGTGCTAACAGTTCCACAATCCCATTTCTCCAAAATACGCCTCTCAGGCAGCATTGTAACTGGAAATAGGATTCTATTTGCAATGGAAATAGAACATGAAAAAAAATTAATAGGAAACAAAAATTGCAAGATTATACCACTTGCCAGTAAATTAAAAGGTTCAGACAATCTAGGAAAAAAAGCTTGCTCCTTGGCCATCCTAAAGGATCCCACATGAACATTAGTTATATTGTAGAGCATAAGATTTCACTGTGCACTGAAAGATATGAGAAGTGATTCAATATTAAGGCTGATCCTGAATCAGGTATAGAACAGTAATAGGAGTCAGACCTGAGCTTGTGAGAGACAGGAGAGAGCATAAATAGCCCATTGAACACAACCTTCTTAAGCAAACACTTCCAGTGCCTTTAGGGATGGAGTTGGATTGCACAAGGGTCACCTTTATTTTCTTTAAATAATGAAAACTCAAGCCAAATGTAATCAAATTCATTCTTGAGAAATAAGAGGAGGGTAAACACCCCTACTTCTCTCCATCAGGTAGGGCTGTTGGGTTGTTAGCCTCGATGCTTAGGATTCCCTCCAGAATATTGTCCTGCTTAAGGATAACCAGAAGACCTCAAAGGTGTTTTCCCATGTATCTTAAAAGAGAATACTAGCCAATAAATAATCTCTGCGTCCTGTTTTCTCTCCAGGAATCCAGCTACTTTTATCTAATGGGATCAAGATACAAAGAACAATGAGAAAGCCCCTCTTCCTCACTGCAAACCTGCCTCCCTCTCCCAGTCCACATACATCAAGTAATAAAGGCTAACATTTACACAGTTCTAATATGTGCCAGACTGTGTGCTGGGAGTTTAATATCCAGTAATTCATTCAGCCCTAATAAGCAGCCCCTGAGGTAGATGCTCCTCGCATCTCCATTTCACAGAGAAGGAAACTGAAATACAGAGAGAGTAAATAAATCGCCCAACCCCACAAAATAGTAAGTAGTGGAACCAGGATTCAAAGGCAGGCAGTTTTATGTTGGAATCCATTCTCTTAACCATGCACTTTTGACTCTGACCAAGCACCCATGGACTAGGCATCTCCTTGGAGGAAATGAAGTTCTGGATACGACGAAATGGTTCATGAGATACCCCATGTTGAATCTGCCTCCTACAGCTCAGGTCCTACAAGCATCAGTGCTGTTGGCAGAGAGGAGACAAGCCCCAGTCTACAATCACACACCTGTTTCAGCACAAACAACAACAGCTCTCTATTGCCCCTGGATACCCCTCCCCCTGAGCAAAGATTCTGCATATCTCTATCTCTTAAGCCAAAATAACTTGGTTCTCACCTTTCTAGGCATGAATGGGGCAAAGCCGCAAGTCCTTTGCACATTTTGGCAAGTGGCTTAGTTCCTCAGTTTTGAGCACAAATTCTGCACAGCAGAGCGAGACTTTGAAAACTTCACAACTGTCTGGGACTGCCTCTCCCTCTGAGGAATATATAGAGGCTCTTTGCCAGCCCTCTACTGCTCCCTGGACCAATCCAGACCTTAGAGGAAATCACTGGCTGGGACGCAGCTGCAGTTGTGGGAGCTGGAGGCTGGAATCCTGTTGTGGGAGCTGGAGGCTGGAATCCTGTCTCTGCAGCATTAGGCTTCCGGCTGCTCCTCAGAGGATACTCATTCCGCCAGGGCAGGGCAGGGCTCTCCATCCTGCCTGGGTCATTCATGTTTTAACGTGTAAATGTGAGCCAGCCACAGAGCAGAGTCCCTTGGGCTGCCCCAGATCTGTCAAAATCATAGCCTGTTAGGAGGGCAAGAGCCCCAGAGATCTCTTATCCCAATTTGGTGTCACAGTGGAGGAGGTGAGATTTAGAAAAGGCCAGGGGATGTGTATGGAGCATCTATGGGTGCCAGGCTGCCAGGCACTTGGTGGGATGCTAGGAATTCAAAGAAAGGCACTGCCTGCTCTCAAGACCCCAAAACATCCTATCAATACCATATAAGTGAGTGATGGAGGCAGGCCCAGGATGTGTGAGCTTTCAAGGGCCACCAGAGAAGATCTGGGGGAGGAAATAAGCCCTGAGCTTAGTGATAAAAGAGGCAAAATACCCTACAGCATTCTCTCCGCTAGATATTGCCTCCAAGTTCCCTTAATTCTATAACTGGTCTTGTGATTATTTCTCTACTTTGATAATGACATCAGGTAATTCCTTGGACCCTGTCTCCGCCATCCATCCTTGGTCGGGCTTGTCTTGCCTGGCTGGCTCTTCAACCTTTCCCTGTCTTTGATCACTCCAGGATTATTCCCACCAAAAGTGACCTTATTTGTGATTCATCCTATCAGGACCCAAGGGGTTAATAAATTAATATGTAAATGCAGATGCCTGAGGAGTAGGCATGAGTCCAAACTAAAACAGCAACCACATCATCTGTAAGAAAAGCTCTAAATTTAGAATTAAAGATGATTCTCATAATGTTCCCCATTGTCTGAAATTGTTTTAAACTGTTGATTGGGGCCTGTTACTGGCTTGCAAAGTCAATATACTGTATTATGATGTGATGTTTTAAATTAAATAAATAGGTTATAATAGACATACATGCAAGTGCATTGCATGAAAAAGTTAAATATTGTTTTCTGAAATTTTTGCTTTCATTATCAGTATGGCTGTGTGAACAAGGTCATTAGATAAAAAATTTAAGATTTTATTTATTATTTGACAGAGAGAGACACAGCGAGAGAGGGAACACAAACAGAGGGAGTGGAAGAGGGAGAAGCAGGCTTCCCGCGGAGCAGGAAGCCCGATGCAGGGCTTGGTCCCAGGACCCTGGGATCATGACCTGAGCCAAAGGCAGACACTTAATGACTGAGCCACCCAGGTGCCCCGATAAACTGTATTTCTTACTATAATTTATAATCAAAAAGGTTTGAAGACCACAGCTGTCTACCATATATTTTATTCACAAGGAACCCTGTCTTAGTCATCTTTGCAACCCCAGCACTTAGCACAAGGTCAGCATGTCAACATTTACAAATAGTGCTTGAGCTAAATACAACTGTTCAAGTTCTACTGTTTGCCAGCTGCATAAACACCAGCAAATCAGCTCATCTGAGTGATGGACACTTAATGTTCACAGAAATACAAGCACTGTTGTTGGCCGCTGAGTCTCAGATTGGGAATATAAAACTAGTCGAGGAGACTCCTTGGGCCTAAATTACCCCAAGAGGCTAAATTACGGTTTGATATTTAAGGATCTTTGAGGAGAGAATAAAGTGAAAAAAAAATTAATGTAGCACTATGGAGGGTGATGTCTTGGCCAGGGCTGAAGGTCAAAGCATCAAAGCAGGTTTCTGACCAATCCAGAAGAGTGTGAGATGCATGGATGGACTATTCAAGAATCAAAACTATCTCAATCGTACTAAAAGGTGGGCTAGAACCCAACATGCAAAAAATGCAAAATGCAATGGAAATAAATATGAATCCAGCATCTGTTTATTTTTAAAACCTTCATAAGGATGGAATAGCCTGAGAGCATGTAAAAGAGCCTGCTCATTGTATGAGGCAGGGTTCTCCAGAGAAACATAGCCGGTATCTACGTGTATATAAAGAGAGATTTATTATAAAGAATTGGCTCATGTGATTGTGGAGGCTGAGCAGTCCCAAGATCTGTGGTCTGCAAGCTGAGGGTCCAGGAGAGCCAATGGCATGCGGTCCCAGTCCAAAGGCCTGAGAAGCAGAACCCATGGTACAGGTTCCAGTCTGAATCCAAGGCTGAGTGCGGAAGAAGACCTATGGCCCAGTGAAGATAGTCAGAAAGAGAGAATGAATTCTCCCTCCTCAGTCTTTTTGTCCTAGTCAGGCCGTTAGTGGATTGGATGAGACCCACCCACACTGGGGAGGGCAAGGGGTTGACTCGTCTATTGGTTCAAAGGTTAATCTCATCCAAAACCACCCTCACAAACACACCCAGAATCATGTTTAGCCAAATACCTGGGCACAAAATTAACGATTGCACTCATGAAAAATAAATTTGAAATTCTTTTTAAAATAAATTGAACTATTTTTTTCTCCCTGCCCTCCTGAACATCCCTCAAAATGATAGTAAATGTATGAAAAATGTAGAAAGCTATAATAACATAGAGAAAGGGACATAGGCCGTCATATTAGGAGCGGTTTCAATCTCTTTATAAAAGGTGGAAAGGGGTGGTTAAGAGTGCTTACTAAAGAAGCAGTGTTAGAATTCAGAGAACAAACCAAAGAGGTATCCATATGTTTGCAGGATGCCACAGCGGTGCAGACCCCAAAGTGCTAGATACTACAGAAGCAGGAATTAGCTACAGAGCTGGCAGTCGTGGGGATAATTGAGGTTTTTGTCCGATGGAAAGGTCTCCTGCCTACCCCACAGAATTCCTGTGATTCATTTCTAATTCATTTTCTTAGCTAAATCATGCATCAGTCTAATTATTGTTAACAACACATTTATTGAGATGCCTCTTATAACCAACGATGGCACATCATGGGGAGAACCTTTGATCTGGGGACTTCTGGGACCACGTGGTCGATGGTGAACAGGCATCCACCCACTGTTTAATCTCTCTTAATGCTTAAGAGTTCCACCCCAAGGCCAGCCAAGAGCACACGCAATAAATAAGGTGGAATGTTCACCTTACATGGTGCTTGATTTCTTTTTTTCTGATAATTTTTTTAAAATTATGTATTAGTTCAATTTATAATTCTGCCACCCAGAAGTATATACACTGTCAACGAGTTGTTATGTCTGCTTCTACAGTTTTTTAAAATAAAGAGGCAATAGATAGAACTAAAATCCTTTTAAATACTCATTTCTATTTCCATTCTTCTCCCATCTTTCAGCACGCATAATCCCTTATTCAGATTTTGGTATGTGGTTTTCTTCCAGATCTTTTTTTTTTAATTTAATTGAATTTTATTATGTTATGTTAGTCACCATACATCATTAGTTTTTGATGTAGTGATCCACAATGTAGTCTTCCCGATCTTTTAAAAATTTCTTCACCTATACTGGATTCATTAATACTATAAGGTAATCATTTATGTATGTTCTACTTATATATATAGTAATATAATCTCCATCCTACTTTTTTGTTCAGAATTATGAATTTTTGGTTTTAGATTACACCGACACTTACAGAACATTTTCTATGTTCCAGGGATTTTAAAAACACTTTTCACTCATTTCCATATTTATTTGTCACAATAAAACCATGAAATAAGTTCTCTAATGTCATTTTTAAAAATATTTTATTTATTCATTTATTTGTTTATTCGTTTGTTTATCTATTTAGAGAGAGAGCATGAGAGGGGGTTGGGGCAGAGGAAGAGGGAGAGAGAGAATCTCAAGCAGACTCCACCAGGAGCCCGACGGGGGGCTCGATCTCACAACCCTGCAATCATGACCTGAGTTGAAACAAGTGTTGGACACTTAGCCACTTAGACACTTTAAACGAGTTCCCTCGTTTAAAAAATGTCATTTTTTAAACGAGGGAACATTCTGATCTTTTAAATGAAGATGAAGCTGAGACGCCTGGGTGGCTCAGTTAGTTAAGTGTCTGCCTTTGCTCAGGTCATGATCCCAGAGTCCTGGAATCGAGTTCTGCATCCCTGGGATCAAGTCCCATATTGGGCTCCCTGCTCAGTGGGGGTCTGCTTTTCCTTCTCCCTCTATCTGCTGCTCCCCCTGCTTGTGCTCTCTCTCTCTCTGACAAATAAATAAATAAAATCTTAAAAAAAATTTTGTTCGTCGTGGGGGCACCTGAGTGCCTCAGTTCGTTAAGTGCCTACCTCTTGGTTTTGGCTCAGGTCATGATCTTAGGATCCTGAGATCAAGCCTCACGTCGGCTCCACAATCAGTGGGGCATTTTCTTGAGACTCTCTCTCCTTCTCCCTCTGCCCCTCCCTCAGCTCACATGCTCTCTTTCTCTCCTCTCTCTAAAATAAATAAATAAATCTTAAAAATGAAATAAAAATTTGTTCACCTTGATCAGTCTTTTCAGAAGTTTATTTTGTTAGTCTTTTCAAACAACTAATTTTTGTTAGTGGTGATCTTATCTTTTGTTCTGTTTCTTACTTTATTGCTTTGTGTTTGTATCTTTACTGTTTCTTATCTTCTATTTTTTTAATGTTTATTCTTTTTTCTAAATTTATTTAAATTCAATTTAGTTAACATATAGTGGATTATAAATTTCAGTGGTAGAATTTAGTGATTCATCAGTTGCATATAACACCCAGTGCTCATTACCTCACGTGCCCTCCTTAATGCCCTTCACCCAGTTACCTCATCCCCCCACCCCTTCCCCTCCTGCAACCCTCAGTTTGTTTCCTAGAGTTCATCATCTCTTATGGTTTGTCTCCCTCTATGTTTTCATCTTATTTTTCCTTCCCTTCCCCTATGTTCATCTGTTTTGTTTCTTAAATTCCACATATGAGTGAAGTCA